AGCTCCCCTTTTCCACACCCCGCCTGCCGCTCAGGGCGTCCTGGGGAGTGGCCGTGGCGTGGGGGCGGAACACGCTGGAAGACTCCCCCTTGGGTCAGACACGAGGAGCTGGGTGGAGGTCAAGGCGGGGCCGTTCACGGCTGAGGGGCTGGCAGGGGCTGGGGTCCCCTCAGAACGGGCTCTGGCGAGGTCGCCAAGGACACAGAAGTGTCTTGAGGACCCCAGGAGAGGGTGGCAGGACAGGCAGTGCATTTGTGTCCCCTGTGGCGCACGAGGGCTGGTGGTGACACCACACTTTGTCCCCAAGCACAACAGCACTGTGCCCTGACCCGGCGCTCACCGGGGGAGCTACTTGGGAGCGGCCCCAGGAGCAGGGGCTGCCAGGGACCCCAGGGCTGTGCGCCTCCCACGTGACTCATGCCCAGACCTGCACACGCTGCACACCCACCCTCAGGGCTCAGCTGAGGTGAAAGACAAAACCAGACTTCCTTGGGACCGCACCCCGGGGAGAAGCCGCCAAGGCACAGGCTCCCGGCCTGTCTGTACCACTCCGTGGGCCTCCGAGGCGGCGGCTCCTCTGCTGTGAACCGGCCAAGGGGAGCCCAGGAGCCAGGATGAGCTCCTGCAGTGGGGGTGGGGCTTCCGCCCGCGGTCCTCCCAGCCCAGGAACTGCAAGGCCCAGGCAGCCGAGCCCGAGCGGGGCCTGGCGGTTCTGCGGGTGGCCTCTGTCAGGACAGCCGCATCACTCACGCTGGCGGCTGTGCTCCTGGCTGCGAAGGGGACTCAGGAAATGCAAATGGAGGCCACGTGCCGCAGCCCGCCGGCCGCCAGGACGCCCGGTCTGTGTCCCCAAGCGTGACTTGGCAACTCTGTGCTGCCCAAACGCTTGCAGGAAATCGGCTGTCGAGGGCACGTGTGGTCAGCCCTCGGGGAGCTGACCGCTACCAGGAGGAGATTTGCCGTCTGCAGTCCCAGGTCCACGGGGGCGGGAGGGTGTTCGCAGTGTTAGTGGGGATGAGGCTCTGCCAAGTCCCTCCTGGAGCCACGAGCTCAGCCCGCAGGGGCCCCCGGGAGCCAGGCTGCCCATCTCTGGCCACACAGCTCTCAGGGCTCGGTGGGACCAAGCGTTCTGGGGACACGCTCTGCACAGAGCAGCTGCAACCAGGCTTTCTCCCAGGACAGCTGGGTTTGGGCGCCACTGGCCTGGCCAGCAGCACCGAGGGGCTGAGCCAGACAGCGGAGGTGGGTCCCCGTGTCTCAGCCGGCCGTGCACACCGCACTCTCACAGCCCGGGGCGTCTCTGGGCTGTCTGTGGGGACCGAGGCAGGATGTCCGCAGACAGCCTGCCTGCTTTCAGCACCAGGGACAGCGGCTGGTCTCGGACTGGGGTCTGGGCTGGCTGGGGCAGGGCACAGCTGCTTCCAAGAGGAGCGGAGCTTTCTGCCTCTCTCCTGCCGACGAGGGGGTGGTGTAACCCCTGGAGGGGTCCACATTCTCCTGGATTTGCCACAGCTCCAGGGGCTTTGGGCCAAGTTTCCCGACAAGAATGACCAAAGCAGATCCAGCTTTGGGGCCTTCTCTGGGCACTCCCTGCTCCCCGTGGGCAGCAGCGTGGGGCTCTAGCACGGCCACGGCTGGCGAGGGCCGCTCGGTGCTGGAGCTGGGGAGCAGCCGCCTGAGGACACGGCTCTCAGCCGTGAGGCCACCGCGGAGCATCCAGGCCGCTCCGCGACCGCAGCCCAGGTGCCGAGAGCACTCGCGGAAGCCTCAAAGCCCAGGCCCTGGCCCTGCGTCTCAGGGGTTGGATCCGCTTCAGTGTCCGGCACTGGGCTCGCGGGGTGTCAGGCCCGGTGACCACGGAGCTGCTGGAGGGGCAGGGAGGGGGCAGTCACCCTGTGAGGGGCAGGGAGGGGGCGGTCGCCCTGTGAGGGGCAGGGAGGGGGCGGTCGCCCTGTGAGGGGCAGGGAGGGGGCGGTCGCCCTGTGAGGGGCAGGGAGGGGGCGGTCACCCTGTGAGGGGCAGGGAGGGGGCGGTCACCCTGTGTGGGGCAGGGAGGGGGCGGTCACTCTGTGTGGGGCAGGGAGGGGGCGGTCACCCTGTGAGGGGCAGGGAGGGGGCGGTCACCCTGTGTGGGGCAGGGAGGGGGCGGTCGCCCTGTGAGGGGCAGGGAGGGGGCAGTCGCCCTGTGAGGGGCAGGGAGGGGGCAGTCGCCCTGTGAGGGGCAGGGAGGGGGCAGTCACACTGTGTGGGGCAGGGAGGGGGCAGTCACTCTGTGAGGGGCAGGGAGGGGGCAGTCACTCTGTGTGGGGCAGGGAGGGGGCAGTCACTCTGTGAGGGGCAGGGAGGGGGCAGTCACTCTGTGTGGGGCAGGGAGGGGGCGGTCACTCTGTGAGGGGCAGGGAGGGGGCGGTCACTCTGTGAGGGGCAGGGAGGGGGCGGTCGCCCTGTGAGGGGCAGGGAGGGGGCGGTCGCCCTGTGTGGGGCAGGGAGGGGGCGGTCGCCCTGTGTGGGGCAGGGAGGGGGCGGTCGCCCTGTGTGGGGCAGGGAGGGGGCGGTCACTCTGTGAGGGGCAGGGAGGGGGCGGTCACTCTGTGAGGGGCAGGGAGGGGGCGGTCACTCTGTGAGGGGCAGGGAGGGGGCGGTCGCCCTGTGAGGGGCAGGGAGGGGGCGGTCGCCCTGTGAGGGGCAGGGAGGGGGCGGTCGCCCTGTGAGGGGCAGGGAGGGGGCGGTCGCCCTGTGAGGGGCAGGGAGGGGGCGGTCGCTCTGTGAGGGGCAGGGAGGGGGCAGTCGCTCTGTGAGGGGCAGGGAGGGGGCGGTCGCTCTGTGAGGGGCAGGGAGGGGGCGGTCGCCCTGTGAGGGGCAGGGAGGGGGCGGTCGCCCTGTGAGGGGCAGGGAGGGGGCGGTCCGCCCTGTGAGGGGCAGGGAGGGGGCGGTCGCCCTGTGAGGGGCAGGGCGGGCGGTCGCCCTGTGAGGGGCAGGGAGGGGGCGGTCGCCCTGTGAGGGGCAGGGAGGGGCGGTCGCCCTGTGAGGGGCAGGGAGGGGGCGGTCGCCCTGTGAGGGGCAGGGAGGGGGGCGGTCGCTCTGTGAGGGGCAGGGAGGGGGCGGTCGCTCTGTGAGGGGCAGGGAGGGGGGGGGTCGCCCTGTGTGGGGCAGGGAGGGGGCGGTCACTCTGTGAGGGGCAGGGAGGGGGGCGGTCGCCCTGTGAGGGGCAGGGAGGGGGCGGTCGCTCTGTGAGGGGCAGGGAGGGGGCGGTCGCCCTGTGAGGGGCAGGGAGGGGGCAGTTGCTCTGTGAGGGGCAGGGAGGGGGCGGTCGCTCTGTGAGGGGCAGGGAGGGGGCGGTCGCCCTGTGAGGGGCAGGGAGGGGGCAGTCGCTCTGTGAGGGGCAGGGAGGGGGCGGTCACTCTGTGTGGGGCAGGGAGGGGGCGGTCGCTCTGTGAGGGGCAGGGAGGGGGCAGTCGCCCTGTGAGGGGCAGGGAGGGGGCAGTTGCTCTGTGTGGGGCAGGGAGGGGGCAGTCGCCCTGTGAGGGCAGGGAGGGGGCGGTCACTCTGTGAGGGGCAGGGAGGGGCTCGGCTACATCTGGCACCTGCTCCCTGGGGCACGGGGGGTGGACAAAGGAGAGGGCTGGGTGTCAGGGGTGTCCGGGTCTCCGTGCCTGCAGTGGCCCCCAGACCACACGCCACGTGCCCTGGCTGGGGTCGCCCAAGGCCCCTTCCCCGTGAAGATGGCCGAGCCGCCACTTCTGCTGGACAGCGCCCAGCTCTCGGCTCCGGCTGCCTGTGCTGTGCACCCCCTCACCAGGGCCTGGGGTCTGCTTCTGTTGTGAAGAGGCCCCAAGCCCCTCAAATGTCCAGTGCCCCCTCCCATCCTCACCACAGTCCAGAGCGGGGGGCTGGGGGACTGGGGGCCCCTCGCTGAAGCCCAGGTGGTGCCGAGGACTGAGACAGGTTGGGCAGCCGGGGCCGAGCTGGGCTTTGGGTCCAGCATGGAGTGGCCTCTCCAGGTCAAGGAGCTCCGGTGGGGTCACCAGGGCTGCTGGGTTCAGAGCTGAGAGCAGGCGGGGCCCCAGGACAGGGGGTGGGGCATCATCACCCTGCCCCCTGGGGAGGCTCGGACCCTGCTCCTCCCAGGGCACAGAGGAGGAGGCAGGGGAGGCGGAGCGGGTCACCCTGCAGGGAAGCGAGGGCCGGGGTTCACGCCTGGCCCCAGGCTCCAGTCCACGCTGGGGTCTGCTCACCACAGCCACTTCTGCCAGCAGCGAGGGCCCAGAGCACCGCCGGTGCCAGGGTTCTGGGGCCAGTGGGACCTTGGTGCAGTCTCCCAACCCTGTCCCTCAGGTGTGGACCACGGGGACCGGCTCCCCTGGACGCCCACCTGAGACCACTGGGCACTGAGAGGGCCTGGCAGCTGGGTAGCGGGCAGTGCCCCGGGGCAGTCTGAGGGCAGGGAGGGAGGCCTCGGACAGGGAACACACGCCACCCGGAGCTGAGTGCCGGGGAGAGCCAGCCGGGCGAGAGCACAGCCAGGACCGGGCGTGCCCACGTGCCAGGCCCCCCTGTGCAGGAGCCACAGCAGAGCCGCTGGCCCTGAACCCGACCCTGGCCCTGAGCTCTTCCCGCAGCCCGGGCCTGGAGAGTGCCCTCTCCATGTGGGAGGAGAGCCCGCAGCTGCCCAGGGGACCAGACGGCAGGTGGGCAGCGCCCCAGCCACAGTGGAGGCGCCCAGAGGCAGGGGAGCGCGGAGCTCAGGGAGGCAGACCCCAGACCTGGGCGCCCCTCACAGCACGGAGGGGCTCAGCCTCACCTGGCTCAGCGTCTGCACGGAGCCCCTCCCCCATGTGTCCGCGGGACCCTCCTGCCAGTGGCCCGCATCCGGGAGGGGCCGGCTCCCCGGGGGATGAGGGGCTAAGTGGGGGGACAAGCAGGGGGAGGCGAGGCATCCATCTGAGGTCTTGGGGGGGTGGCCCTGTGCCGTGGCCACTGGGCAGGCAGGCACACTACCTTTTTAACACAATATTTTATTTATTATTTTTGAAATAACAAGTTTTTAAACATTTATTTATTTATTTGAAAGGCAGAAAGAGAGAGAGAGAGAGAGAGCGATCCTCCATCCACTGGTTCACTCCCGACGGCAGCGATGGCCAGGGCTGGGCCAGGCGCCGCCTCCAGGCCTCCCCGTGGGTGCCGGGGCCGCAGCCCTTGACCTGTGCTGGCGGGAGCTGGAGGGGAGCAGAACAGCTGCGTTTTGAACCCCGAGTTCTGGCAGGAGATGCTGGCGCCGCCGTGGCCGCTTCACCAGGGCCCCGCCCAGCCCCCGCAGCTGGCCCCAAACTTCGGGGGAGTGGGCTGCTCAGCAGACCCAAGTCCGAGGGTCCGGGCCGTGTGGGGAGGGCCCTCTTACTCGTCCCCCGGAGTGCTTGGGCTGGCGCAGGCCTGGGGGTGGGGGTCCTCCTCTCGGCAGGAGCCGGCACCAGAAGCCCGCAGGGACCCAGCTCAGGGCAGGGGGCTCTGGGTGAACAAGCCCGAGAGGACACGGGAAGAAACACCCAGGCCGAGGCTGGGGGCAAGGAGGCTGACCCAGGCCCACAGCCCCCGGAAGCAAACCAGCCAAAGCCCGATCCTGGCCTCCAGCGCGCCCTGGCGTAAAACACGGCCATGCAGCACACGCACACACACGTGTGGACACGGCACACGGCTCACCTATGTGCACCTGCAGACACACGCGCCCCAGAGCGAACCCGCAACTGTCTTTTCCAGGCCCCTGGGCGGTGCTGTCTGATAAAGCTGAAACCAAGCCGACAGCGGAGCCCGCCATACCCTGGCTCTCTGCTGCCTGTCGGCCTCTGCCGGCTCACGGTGGAGTTTGGGGATCGACACGGGACTGGATGGAGCCAGGCACAGCCAGGACACAGTGCACGTGGCGGCACTGAGCCGGCCCAAGAACAGCAGGCAGCAGTGGGCAGGAGGCGGCTTTGGGGGCCGGAGGCGGAGCCGGCTCTGCAGCCTGGTGATCTAAGGGCACCGGTGGGCCGGGCCTCTGTCCAGGACACCGCTCACCCCGCCTGTCCTGCCAGGGCTGGCCCTGTGCGGCCCAGTGAATCATTCGGCCAGACAGGCGGTGAGCGGGCGGCCCCAGGCCAAGGGCACCCAGGACACAGTGGAGGCAGCCAAGGCAGGAGCATCCAGGTTCTTCCCCAGGCTCCCCCAGGAGTGGAGGGGTCTGCTGCCTCCTGAGCCCCCGCTTGCTCCCCGCGAGTCCTGGCTCTGGGGCATCAGACACCACACAAGCCCCTCGGCAGCCCCCAGCCCCACCCTGGAGCCGGAGCCAGGGCGGGGGCTGGGGCGGTGCTGAAGCGTGAAATGGGACTCCGGGTTCCCGGGATCTCCAAGCTCCCAGCGCCCTCAGGTGAAGCCAGGTTTGGCTGAGGGAGACCCTCTGGGGTGGGGGTGGGGCACAGCCCTGCGGACAGGGTCTCCCGCGGCCGCACAGGCAGGCTCTTTCCTCTTCAGGCAACTGAGATGTTGGGGGTGAGGGCGCCCTGGGGACGGGCGACTCCTCATGCCCCTCGTGCTCCTGGCCAGCACGCAGCAGGATAGCCCTGTGCAGCGGCGGTGGGGCTCGAGGCCAGCCCAGCTGGAGTAGCGCCCCCAGAAGCCCCGCTCTGTGGCCCGAGGACAGGGAGTATTGGAAGCCATAAGCTGAGAGCCTCAGGGGACGCTGGCTGCCGTCGGGGGCCAGCGAGGTCCGGGGACAGTGCTGCCCGCACTTGAGCCGTGTCCTGGGGAGCCTGGACAGCACCCTAAGCATGTGTGGCCTCAAAGGCGCCCTTGGCACCCATGCAGCTGGCTGCGCTGGGGCCACCTGCACTGACCCGGCCAGCACCGGCCTTCCCCGGGTGCAACTGTCCGGGTCATGGGGCACCTGTTGCCTGGAAACTGTGGTCCGTGGGTCTCGTGTGTGGTCTCTGGAGAGGACCCCAGGCCCCTGCACAGCCGAGACTCAGGGTCCTGTCCTGGGGTGAGGGGAGCTCCTGACCGAGGCCTGCGGCACTGTCCTTGTCCTTCCTGCTGGCGTCACCGGGACACCGTCGGGGCACCATCAGGCTCCATTGCACTGGGCCGGGGGACGCTGCCAGCCAGGAGCAGGTGGAGGCGTTGCTGGGCTTCCGTGTCCGACCCCGATCCCCGGGTGCTCAGGGCCCCAGGCTGGGCCGGACTGACCTGGACGTGCGGGGTGGAGCCTACCTGGGCGGGGGTACAGACGAGGGCTGGGCCCTGAAACAGGCTCAGGTCACGCCTCAGGGCTCGCGCCGAAGCGTGGGGCCCACGGAGACCCCAGGAACAGGGAGAGGGGCCAGCCCCGCCCCGCTGGGGAGCCCAGGGCCTGCGCTGGGCCCGTTCCGCACTCCAGCTCCAGCAGGGAGCCAGGGGACGTGCACGGAGCCCGGGGCCAGCAGTGAAGGTCAAGGCAGGACGCAGACGGGAACAAGTCAGGTCAGAAGATGAAGCAGAACCTTCCGCCTCCGAGACGCTGTTCTGAGGCCGGCGCTGGGCGCAGCCGGCTGAGCCACGGCTGGTGAGGCCAGCGTCCCGTCTCAGAGCACCAGTTCCAGTCCCGGCTGCTCCACTTCCCACCCAGCTCCCTGCTGGCAGCCTGGGAGGCCATGGGAGGTGGCCCCAGTGCCTGGGAGACCTGGAGGGAGTTCCTGGCTCCTGGCTTCGGCCTGGCCCAGCCCCAGCCATTGCACACTTGGAATGAACCTGCGGCTGGGGGATCCTTGTCTCTCCCATTCTCTCCGTCACTCTTTCAAGTTAATACAGTTGATCTTAATGAGAAGATGCCGCCCCACTGCCCCCGCCTCTGCCCCTGACGGGCAGCCTGCGGCCATCGGCGCCATTTTCGAGTCTGAAATGCGTTGTTTTCCTTAGCTGCTTCCAAAGCGCTTCCTTCGGATTCCTGCGTTTCTAGGCCGTTCCCGTTCTCTGCGCTTCTGGGAGGTTCGAATCTTCCTCTCCCCAGACCTGGGACGCCTCCCGACGCCTTTTCTGCCACAGCCTCTGCTGTCTCTGGAGCCCAGTGCGCTGGACGGACAGACGGCGTTGCCCGGCCTGGTCGCGGGGCTGCTCCTGCTCCTCTGGCCGTCTGGTCTGCAGCCCCTGCTCTCTGCGGCCGTCGCGAGTTCCCCACTCTCCCTCTCAAACTCTTCGCTACTGACATTTGTCCGCAACGTTCTTAGGCCAGATGTTGTATTTTCAGGTCTGAAACATGCGTTTGCTCATTTCTTGCACTTCCTCCGTCTCCTCTGTATTTCCAGCGGGTGTGCACACGTGCGTTTCCAGCGGGTGTGCACACGTGTGTGTATTTCCAGCGGGTGTGCACACGTGCGTGTGTTTCCAGCAGGTGTGCACACGTGCGTGTGTTTGCAGCAGGTGTGCACACGTGTGTGCATTCCAGCGGGTTGCGTGTGTGTGCATTGGCAGCAGGTGTGCGCACGTGTGTATTTGCAACAAGTGTGTGCAGTGAGTGTGCAAGCGTGTGCATTTCCAGCGAGTGTGCACGCGTGTGCATTTCACAGATGGCGGCTGTGGGAGCGCCTGGCCCCGGCCCGCACGAGGGCACCGCCTGTCCCTGGAACGGCCGCGCCTGCGCACTCTGTTGGTCTCGCTCAGCCTGAGCGCTGTGCAGGGAGGACCCCGGGCTGTGCTCCGTTCTCGCAGGGGCGTCACCTTGCTCAGCCCTTGCGGTGGCCCAGTCGGTCCTCCAGGCCTTGAGGGGTGGAGCCTGGCCCGCGGGCGGGCCCTGTGCACGGAGTCACGCGCGCACACTCGGGTGGTCCCTAGGCCGCTCTCTGCACCCAGGCTGTGGCCTGGAGGACCCCTCCCCTGGGAGTCCCCGTCAGCGGCACAGCCCCGGGGAAATACCAGAACCGGAACCAGAGCGCTGGTGCCCCGCATTCTCCGGGTGTCCGCGTGCTGCGCCAGCTGCTTACCTGCCCGCCTGGTCAGGTCTGGGTCTCCTCTGCCGGTCGGGCGGGGCCATCGCGGCTTCTGCTGCTGAGCATGCGCGGTGCCAGGGTTCTGGGGCGCGCACCGCCTCCCCGGTCCCCGGGAGGGTTTCCCGGCAGAGACCCCGAGGACTCACAGGGTGGTGGGGCCGCCGGGCCTTGTCGCAGGCAGCTGGGCAGTGGGCAGCTCCCTGGGGTCCCTGCCCAGCCCTGTCCTCTGTGTGGCAGGGGAGACGGACGCGTGTGCCAGGCCATGGACCGATGCCACCTCCTCCTTCCTGGTGCGGGTGGCGCTGACATCTGCGGACTCAGCCACCAAGGGAGCCGCTGCCCCCACCCCCGGGGCCTGGAGCAGAGGGGTGGTGGGAGGACCCCAGGCCACAGCGTCCACCTGCCGTCCTGCGAGGTGCACCTGCCTTCGACACAGGGGAGAGGGAGCAGAGTGGGCGCCTGCGGCCGTCCGGCTGCCCGGGCTGGCAGAGTCCTCGGCCCTCGGCGGGGAGGGGGCTGAGTGACGGCTGGGAGGATGAGCTCAGAGGCGGCGGCGGGATGGTGACTCAGTGGAGGGGAAAGACGGGAAGTGCAGCTGCCCCGGCGACTGGCGGGAAGGGGCGCGAGCCGCACGCCCGTGACAGCTTAATGGCCTTGGTGAAGCATCCTCTGAACGTGCCGGGCCGGAGAGGCTCGAGCCAAGACGGCCCGGCCTCGGGGGACAGCGGGCAGCCGGGAAGGCGGCCATGTTCTCTGCGATGCCCCGCCCCTCAGGGCCCTCCCAGGAGCCCCCACGGGCACCCAGGTCACGCCCCGTCCCTCCAGGTCGGGCGCCCCTTGAGGTCCGGGAAGAGCTTCGTGCCTTTCTCCGGAGAGCCCAGCCCAGGTCTCTGGGCAGCCAGAGCCGTGGGCATGGAGGGCCCCGCCCTGCAGCCCCAGCCCGACTCCTCGCCGGCCCCTGCTCCTCCGTGCCCCGGGTCCCCCCACTCTGAGTCCCCACCTGCCAGGGAGCTGCAGCCCGCTTCACCGATGCCCGCGGCCCAGGGGCCAAGCACGCCTGCACACTCCCCTGGCCTGGCCCCACAGCCCGTGCTGCAGGGGCCTGAGGCACGCGGGGTCTCTGCAGCCCCTGCACTGAGCACTGGGGTGGGCTATGTCCTCCTCAGGACCCCAGGCCCGAAGGCCACAGGGTGCAGCCCCGGGCTGCGTTAGAGGGGAGTTGCAGCTCGGGCTGGAGAAGGCACCTGTGTCCCGCGGCACCTCCCGTGTGGTGGCAGCTTTGGCTCGGTGGGATTCTTTTCTTTTAAAATTTTATTTGAAAGACAGTGACAGAGGGTGAGGGAGAGGGAGGGAGAGGGGGAGGGAGAGGAGGAGGGGAGGGAGAGGAGAGGGTGAGGGAGAGGGAGGGGGAGGGGGAGGGAGAGGAGGAGGGGAGGGAGAGGAGAGGGTGAGGGAGAGGGAGGGGGAGGGGGAGGGAGAGGAGGAGGGGAGGGAGAGGAGAGGGGGAGGGGAGAGTGAGGGGGAGGGGAGGGAGAAGAGGAGGGAGGGGGGGGAGAGGGGGAGGGTGAGAGGGAGGGGGAGGGGAGGGAGAAGAGGAGGGGAGGGGGGGAGAGATCTTGCATCTGCTGGCTTACTCCCCAAACGGCCTCAATGGCTGGGGCTGGGCCAAACCAAAACGAAGACCTTGGAGCTCCATCCGGGTCTCCCACGTGGGGGCAGGGCCCAAGGACCTGGGCTGTCCTCCTCTGCTCCCCAGGCCATCGGCCGGGAGCTGGGTCAGAAGCAGAGCAGCAGGGACTCGAATTAGCACTCGCACCGGATGCTGGCGCTGCAGGAGGCAGGTAACCCCTGTCCTGGGGTTTGCCCTGGGACACCGCCCACCATGGTGCCCTCTGGCCACAGCAGTAACTGAACCAGGCGTCCCAGGGAAACACAGACTTTTCCATGTTCAGGAGTCGCAGGGGCAGCACCTGCTCCTGGCACCTGCTCCCCCAGGAAAGCCGCCTTACCCGGCAGGCAGAGCGGCGCCGCTGTCACTCGTGAGCAAGGGGCAGGCACTTGCGGGGACACCTCTGTTTTAGTACTGATCAGGCCCCGCCTGGATTGGACGCACCGGACGCTCTGCTCGGAGAGAAAGAGACCTCTGGATGGGGAGGGGAGGGAAGAGGAGAGCTGGGGACGGAGGGGAGAGGCGGCCAGAGCTATCAGAAAAGCCCTTGTTGGAGAACACAGCTTGAAAACAGCAAACAGCAGCAAAGCTCCACAGCCCACATTCCGGGGCGGTGGGGGTGGGGACGCCGCCAGGCTCTGCTCTCCCCGGGGACCTGCCCCTGACCCTGCGCTGGGAAGCCCTGGGCTGGGGGCCAGCGGAGCACTCTGGCCACGGAGGCTGCCCATCTCCTCGCTGCGAATTTCATTAGCAGTTTTACTCAGCTGGCTGGCAGGGCCCCAGCTCGGCCGCCGGCATCCCCGGCTGGGGGACATGCAGCACCCCGCCCTGCTACGCCGTGAGGGGACCCCGAGGGCTCTGCACCCCCAGGCGTGCACCGCTTCAGATATCAACGTCCCCGTGCACAGACAGAGCCAGCCCCTGCTCTGCCCGCCCCCACCCCACCCCGCCTGCAGGCCTCCGCGCTGCCCCCCTGCCCTGAGCCGGCCGCCAAGCCCCTCCCACGAGGGCCCTGTGGCCATCACCGCCCAGTCCAGGGGAATTCTAGGTAATCTGGTTGCATGCCAGGGAAGCGGCACACTGCCGCCTCCTAACACGCGCGTCGGACAGATGGGAGGGGCCTCGCAGAGCCCGCTGCAGCACCAGCCTTGTCCCCGTGCCAAAGGGGACTTTGATCCCACTGTGCTGCGGCCCCGCCCACCAACAGGACCTGTTCCAAACAAAGACGTCAGGGCCAGGCAGCAAAGCCCACTGCGCAGGGGCACCAAGGCCGCACCAGGCAGAGTCCCGGGCTGGGCTGGGACAGCCTTTCGGGCGCCTCGGGGCCACCCACTCCTCTGGGGCGGCTTAAGCCGAGCGTGGAGCTCCGGGCCAGCAGGGAGAGGGCGTCTCCTGCGACATGTGTCGGGGACCCCTCGCCCCCTCTCCTGGTTTTGCCCAGGTCTCTGGTCCTGCCCCGGTGCAGCCCCCGTGTTTTGGGCAAGGCTGACGGGCCCCTGTGAGAGGTTCCGGGTCAGGCGGTGGCACACAGGTGAGGTCAAGCGGAACCAGTTCCCAGAGGGCCGAGAGCCGAGCAGGAGTCTCCTCCTGCTCCCCCGACGTGGCCTGGAGCCGGGCGTGGGGGCCTGTGGGCTTCGAGGACTGCGGCGTCCAGGGAGGCCATGCCTGAGCAGCCATGTGGGGTCAGGGACCCCCGGGGACCCCGGCGCGGCCTGGCAGTGAGAAGCCAGGGCAGGGGTGGGCTCACGTCTGTGCCTTCCTCGGGACACGGAGCACCCGCCGTGACCCCGGCCCTGGCCGAGTCCTGGGGCCCTGGAGCCCCGAGGTGCAGCAGGGAGGGGCTCAGCCCAGCCAGGGCGGGAACGTGATGCACACAGGCGCCGGCTCCCGAAGGAGGGGCCTGGGTGGATACAGAGCTCGGGGCTCCTGTCCTGCCACGGCAGCGTGGCCAGGGGTCCCCGAGACCCAGTGCAGGCACCAGTGGAAGCAGGGCACCAGGGGGAGTCACAGGAGAGAGAATCGTCCCAGGGAGCAGCAGGCGCAATAGAAGGGAGAGAGGGAGGGAGGGAGGGAGGGAGGGAGATGGGGGGAGGGAGGGAGGGAGGGAGAGAGGGAGAGAGGGAGGGAGGGAGGGAGGGAGATGGGGGGAGGGGCTCTGTGTGGCCGAGGGCCCGGCTTGCCGGGCGTGTGTCTGCCTCTGTCCGTCCCGAGCCGCGTGTGTGGGGTGTGAACGCTGCACACACTGCCCCCCCACAATGCGCACCTGCTGTCTGCGTGTGCGGCACGCGTGTTGGTGGGGCGGCTCACCCTGCACGAGTGTTCACGTGTGTGTGGTCTGTGTAACGCGTGTCCATGATGCCAGCGAGCTCACTGGACCCTCGTGTGCTGTTGCTGCCCCTGCGCACGCTGGGAGCCAGCAGCCACAGTTTCCCGTGCTACACTGCTTGCTCTCGGGCCAGGGTCCTCCTGGGGAGGGGGGCAGGAATGGGGGGTCTGTCCTTTCCCGTGCTGGACCTGTCTGTGCCGGCACAGGCCGCCCCTTCCCTGCCCGTCCTGCCCGCAGGGTCGGGGGGTGTAGGGGGCCTGGAAGTGCTGACTGCAGCTTTGGTGGTAGGTGGGCTCCTTGTTGGCTCGGGGAAGCCCCACGTGTCCCCCAGCTGTGGGGCAGGAGTAGAGGCACTGTCCCTCGGGCTCCGCGTGACAGATGGGTGTCGCTTTTGGGAAAGGACGGGAAGAAAACACGTCTCAGTGAGAACACGTGTCCCCCTGCTCCCCTGCGCTGCCCCCGTCTCATGGTCCCCTTCGCTCAGGAGCTGGGAGTCCTGGGTTCACCCGCGAGGACTAAGGTCGCTTCCCCCCGCAGCTGCAGGAGGAGCCCCCGTCGGCCCCTGAGCAGCCCGAGCTCCAGTTTCGACAGAAGCAAGACCACGACCGCCAGGGGCCTCAGCTCTGCTGCTCTGGGTCCCTGGGTTCAGGCACAAATGGACCAAGGGGCAGAGGCCAGGGCAGGGGGCAGTGCGCGCCCACCCCCACCGCCAGCCAAGGACGAGGTCCAGGCTGCGCTGGCCACCGCGGACCACAGGCACAGGCACAGGCACAGGTGAATCCACCCGCACCTGTGCACCTGGGACCCTGCAGGTAGACACAGTCCATTCCCCGCACCCCAGTGTCCCTCTGGCAGCTCACTGTGCGGTCACCCGAGGCTCTGGCTTCAGTGCCGGCACCTGCCTCCCTCCAGCGGCGGCAGGCTCTGGGCTCAGCGGGCCGCGGACGCCCTCTCCTGGCCCAGAGATGCATTGCCAGGGAGGCACGGGGACCGGAGCACACCCCATGGGCACGGCCCAGAAGGCCAGCAGGGAGGGACTCGGGGGGCTCGCGGGCCTCAGCACCTCAGGAAGCAGAACAAGCCCCCCAGGGCCTCGCCGTTGGGGTCTCTGCGCCGCCCGGAGCCAGAAGCTGCAGAATCCACCCCCACCTTCACGCGGGGAAACCAAGGACCCCGGAGCAGAAGCCTGGGCAAGGGCGGGGTCTGGCGCCCGAGGCAGGGGTAGGGCTGGGCCACACCGAGGCACCTGCTCAAGACTGGACCCACTGGCATCGGGTGAGGGCTGGGCCCTGGGGCCGTTTCCATGGCAGCAGGCTGGGTGTGGACACCATCAGGCCCCGCCCTCGAGGACCCACAGAGCTGGCCCTCAGAGCCCCAGGGACAAGTGACGCCTGCAGGTTCCAGGGCTGCCGGCGACCCCTGGACAGCTCACCAAGGCCCAGGAGGCTGCCCCTGGAGGGGCGTCCCTGGCCACAGAACACGCCGGAAGGGCTGGCCCCTTCAGTGCTGTGGGAGCGCCAGCGTGGCGTCCCCCGGGGCACGTGACTCCAGGACCCCGACTCCAGCAGGATCGCTGACCACCCCAGCCCCGCCTCCAGCCTGGGCAAGCAGGGCGGGGCAGAGAGGGCCAGCTTGGCCTTCAGGGGCCTCTGCCTTGGCTGCCCAGGACGGCCCCCTGGGGAGCTACCCCAGAGGGCGGCCTCAGCCGAGCCCCAGCCTCAGCTCACTCAGAAGCTGCCTCCCACGCGGGGATCCCCAGGGAACACGTGCTGTGCTTCGTGGGCTCCGTGACCTTTGCCCCCTGCCCCCGCGTTATTTGAAAGACAGAGAGATCATCCATCACTCCCCAAATGCCCACAACAACCCGTGCTGGGCCAGGCCAAAGCCAGGAGCCAGGGACTCCATCGGGCTCCCCACGGCCGTCCCTGGAACGCAGCCTGCACGGGCCCCCCCCAGGACCGCGAGGCTGCCTGTCCCCTGGTGGAGTCCAGCCAGACCCCAGGCCAGACCTGGTTGGGTTTCCGTGGGAGCAGGTGGAGGCCCCACCCCCTCCTGGGCAGCAGGACAAGCGCAGGGTGGCCTGGACAATGCCTGAGCGGTCTCCACAGGGGTCCTACAGGCTGGGTGGGGCCCTGCGCGCCCTTTGTCCTGGGGGGCTGCCGAGGGGCGTGGGGAAGTTACCGCCCATGTTACCGCCCAGCGTCTGGGGGCAGGGGCGGGGCCACCTGCAGGCCCGGCCTGGCCCACCTGCCGGGCCCTGGCCCCCAGCAGTGGGGAGCAGGAGCCCACCTGAGCGCCTGCAGGGTCTGGTCATCC